AGCGTTTGTTATAGAGCGACTGTTGAAAATAAGTGTATCGGTAAAGTTATATTCAGAAAGAATAAACCAGTTTTATTAAGAAAGGACTTGTGTCGCTAAAGTTTCATGGGAACGAGGTTACAGAAGATCAACTAACGAGCGGAGACATAACAATATGAATAAGCTCCATTGTGTCTTCGTCCAAGATATTTTTTCACTGCTTTGTAGCACCTACAGCTCTATACTCAAACTCAAAGTTGCCTTAAAATGTTTTTGAATTGCTTGATGCATGAGTTTTAATTTTTAGCCTAGCTAGTTGCAAGACTAAATCGATGTGTAAGCACAGAAGATTCCTGTTAAAACTTGTTTATATATTCTTTAATTCTTACCACTTCATCATTCCAACATTTCACTTGCTCCATCATTTTCAAGGAGGAAAGAAACTGACTGTTGCTCTGTTTTTGTCCTCACAAAAGTTAACAATCTCCTTTGTTAATATTTTGGCATTCAATGATGTCTTGGAGCATTAAAAGATGTCCTTGATATTAATTATTCTCCTCTAAATATTGACCACACATAACCATATGAAGTGCAGTTGGTTACTTCATTAAACAGGAGAGCTTTTTGAATGAAACCTCTAACAACTTGTTAAAGACCTTGCCTACTAAAACTTTACCATTAATCTGAACCACTTTGATATAAATATTGATACTTGTTTAATTGTTGGGTTTGAAAATTTCTAGTTTCTCACTTATCAGAAAGCCTATTATCCTAAGCAATTTTAATAATAGTTGTGTGATATTTTAGGTTTAAATGATCAGTAAACACATTTAAAAGCTTTAACAAGCTCTTGCTTGATGTATTAAACTGATGAGATGTTCATTACATGAACATTTACAACCTTCAAATACATGATTTAGCACTTCACATTATTTTGGCATACTGTACAATATATTTTTCCATCTCTTACATAAGCTGGACAGAGCCGATACTTCACCATCCATTAGTGTTGGAAACTTCCAATCTATCTTTTATTTGACTTAGGGATGGGGTTTTTCCTCTGTTGACATAATGTATCCTTCATTGATGTCATTAAACAATGCATGCTTTGAACACACATCCAGCATTTTCACTGAGTTGATGCGTTGATCACAAGTTACTGATATTAAGTTGACTACAGTGGTGTACTGACGTAAACCTTCACCGTCAGTACACTACGGAGAAAGCATTTACCTACAAATTAAATTTTTTTTGCAGGAATGTGGTTGAAAGTTTTCCAGAGCAATTACATGCTTTTTTTTTATTTAATCAATGTACTTTATGTTCAGATTTAAACTAATTTTGCATTAATTGAACATAGTTTGTATATTTTTCTTTCTTTGTTGTTTATTTAAAAACCTAGCTCAGAAAGTACTTAGTTTTATTCCTGTTGTCACTTCATGAGTACCATGGGTTTTCTACTGAATTTGTCTCTGTTAGACAAAAAATCTCTTGCACATTTTTCTGCTCCTCTCTTACTTGTATAACTTTATATTGTGTATACTTTTATGTTCATTATTACATTACTACTTTTCTAATATTTATTTTACAGCACCATTAGGAGGCCGAGGAGGAAGGGGTAGGGGCATTTCTCGAGGTAGAGGAAGAGGCTATCGAGACAAATTTTATTAACGTGTTTCATGCATTCCAATAATTACATCAAAAGGTTTCATAAATTCTTTGTTGTGTTTGTAGCAGTATCTTTATGTGACAAGTCAATGCAGAATTTTATTCTATACATTTCTGTGGCTGGATCATCTATGTAAACCATTAAACAGTAATATGGCTTCTATTGGAATGGTTGTCTCTTTTGATTTTTTTCTGTGTCATTTATAATTTATCTTTTGACTGGAGAATAAGTATAAGTTTTATATTAACAAACTTGTGATTGTAGACTTTTACATTCTATTTTGCACACACGAGCTGTAAGTCAAGGCTAAGTTTACATTGTGTTAGCACAAAAAAGTCACTTCATTTGACATAAATTTAGTTATTTTACTTAGAAATGATTTTTTATATTACATCAATTTTGTAATAGAAAAATATTTTATGGGTTAAGATAATTGTATGCTGATATTGTAATTTTAAAACTTAATATTTCAAAATCATGTCTTTGACATAATGTGTAATTGTGAAATACATTTATACTGAGTTATAAGTTATATAAAGTTGAGGTGGAACGGAATGTATCAGAATTACATTTTGACAGTGTTTGGCATTTCGTAGTTTGTCTGATGCCACCAAAAAGGGTATGTAACAGCCCATTCCAACACAAAATAATCATATGCTCGGATCGTAAATATGTGTTCAGATAGGGGCTTTATAATTTTGAAGACAAAGATACTTCTTGTAATTAATGGCATTGAAAAACAAAGGAATATGGATCAACTTGGCAGCCAGGACCATCCTGAAAGAGACCTGTGACAAGTTGTGCATGCTGTGGTAAGCAAATTGTATCATCATTTTCACAATCCACAAACACAAAGGGAAGTGGCAAAAACCATCCACATTCCCCACGCAACAGTGCATAAGATAAACAAGAAGGATCTCCATCTGGCAAGGTTGCACAATTCATGTGTACACAAGATGCTTCCACAACATATCCATTCAACTGCCACATACCTCGATAAACTGTAGAATGAAACGGGTATTCATGCAAATCCACACAAAGATATACCAGTCAAATTGCCAGGAGCAGTACCAATGGATTTCTGTGTGATAGGATTATTGAAACAGGTACTGGAAAAACCATTGTTCTCATACTGTATATGGATTATGGAAAGCCAGCAGGAAGAAGTGGTATGCTTAATATATGACAGCCTGACAATGGAGCCTTTTTCAGATATAACTGGACTATCAAGACAAATGATGAGGTTCCAAAATAATTTTCGTATAATATACTCAACCTCTTCTTTTTTTTTTTAATGCTGAAATAGTTTGATAAGATGTCTCATATTCTTGAAACTGGATTTTTTATCCAACTAAACTTTACTAATAATGTGAGGATCACTAAACTTGGTTTCAACCAATTCTGAGAAAATAAAATGTACTACACAGTGAATAAACACTTCAATAGTCTTTGGAACTTTTTCCAATTGTGTGTAAATGTTTAGAGTAGGTTCAAGAGCATTTTTTCATGTCTTAATTTTATTGCTTTGTGTCATTTTTAATTGTGTGTGTTTCTTGCTGAAACTAATCAATTTAGGAGGACTCCCCATCCTATGGAAAGAAAACACATGAAAAAAATGTAGATATGTGTGTATTACCTCTTCATATATTTGTTGATATAACATCAAGAAGTTAGTCTTCTACCTACATGATGTTGTTTATAACACTTCAGCCTCACTGTTACTCAAACAAATACTGAATGGGGGAGCAAATGGCTCAAACAAGTACTGAATGGGGGGGGACCAAGTGGCTCGAACAAGTACTTCATCAATGTGACCAAATGTGCTTTTAAACAAATTACAAAGAGAATGCCTTGGAAGCATCAAAGTTTCTTGAAGAAGGTATGAATCAGTTGGCAACACCTGATAAGCACATGTGATTTCTATAAACTAAATGTCATACTTCAGATGGCGATATAAAAGCTGAGAAACAGCTTTGAGCCAAAACGTTCAAATTGAATAACGTTTTTGCCCCCTCTTTGTTCAGTTTTCGTATTTTTTTGTTCACTGAAGTATTTTTCTTGTTTTTGCCCCCACTTTTTTAGTCTAGTTTTCTTCTTTTGTTTATTGAAGCATTTTTCTTTTATTTGTAGTTCTCAGAAGCAGTTTTGCATGGCTACATTACCGTTTAGACGAGCATGTGTGCATTTGTCACAGTGGAACCAGTTCTGCCTTTTTCTGGCAGGCACATTTTTGTCATTATGAAAAATCTAATGTTTTAAGCAAAAAAAGATGATAAGGTTATAAACCGTACTTGTATGTGGCCAGTTCTATAACTTAGACTTTATTATCATTAATAAACTTGGTTATCACTGTATTTATTTGTATTTTAACATCTGATATTGATAATGTAATGAGAACGATTTCTTGAAACTGTGTATTAAATGTGTTAAATAATGACATAAAAAAAAGAAAGTGTGAACACTTTACAACTACATAGTGAAGCATGAACATAAAAACTTTATAAAGTGTAACATAGTAAAGAAATAGTTATCGTAGGACAAGTTAGGTTTCGAATTTATCTGTGATAATGCACAGGTAAATATTTTAAAGACTTGTTCAGTGGCATAGAAAAATTTAACTAAAGATGCTGCAGTACTTCTGTACGTAACTTGGCCAGGTAGAAACATTCTCAAAAAATACCTTGAAATCCAGCAGGATTTAAACACTGATATTGATTATAATAATGTACATGTTTCAAAGAGTTTGTATTTGCAGTTTTATTGATAGGTATTCGCATTGCAAGGGAATGTATAGAACACAATTTGAAGTATATGTAATTTAATGTTAGAATAGACTTTGGTAGTAACATTATCTAAAATATAATTTTTTATTGAATAAAACTTACTCTTTGTATTTGACAACAGTGTGATAGAAATGATATGATCAAATCACTTGTATTGAAAATACAATAAAAAGTCCTTTGGAACTCAGTTTAATAAAGATTTATTTTATTAACTTTTTGCTATAGATAGTTTCAGAGAAATAAATTGAATCAAAGCAAACAACCCAGGGATCAGGAAGTTACTGAAATTTAGAAAACTCTTGTACACTTATAGTTACAATCCCTCCAGTCCATGCAACAGAGTCTCCCAAAAATCAAACACTCTCTGTTAGTTTGACAGCTCGAGCCTGGAAGTTCGCCATTGGGACAAGGGGCTACAATGAAGGTTGGCCACTTTGGGCATTTCCATACTGTATAAAGATAAATATGTAGCCATTAAGTGGGTAAATTTGTCTACATCAACTCTGTAATAACCTAATACTTGCATGATTAAAATAAGCTAAAACCCTCGATTAGAAAGAAAAAAAAACAACAACATTTAATTACACGAAAATAGGTTTAAGAGTTTAGTTACTGTAAAGCAGACTTAAGATTGGCTAATTACACCGCTGTACATTTCATTCTTGGAACTAATCATGATTCTAAGATCTATACTCAAACTACATACAAATAATTCTTGATAAACTATGAACCATATTATTTAATATATCTGCATCCATTTTATACTTTTGGAAGATTTTACAGTAATTTCACTGAAAAACATTACAAAATAGTTAAAATATGAGCTTTCAAGAATGAAATTAAATATAAATGTTGTACAGATTTTACCACGTAACCTAAATACCCTGATCCTGCAATAGATTATGTATTCTCTATTAATGTATATGTCCTATTTTTGCAGTTACTACTGCTGCTGCTAGGATATATTTTACCATTCCATGCGCTCATGTTTCATTTGGCTGTTCAGTGTGGGATAGTTTGTTTTTTACTTTGACCTGTTACTTATGGTTACAGAAGTACAAATCAAGAGACTAAAAATCTGGGGAAATATACAGTTGGAGAAGAATGGTAAATGCAACTCCTTGGAACAAGTTTTCTTCTTTTTTGTCTTATCCTTTCAATTTCTTTTACTCAAATTCAATTCTTAATAAAATGCCAAAAAACATGCATTCAGGTCCAGTGATGAAAGTGTTTTTTTCTAAGTATTTAAAGCAAGTAAAAATTGTAAAAAAAATAAACTATGCCATTTATTTTAAACCTGATACATTCATACATCTGTAAAAAAGAAAAAAATGATTACAGGAAGAAATACAAAGTTAAGTTTTTGTTTCAAAAACATATAATCCTTAATTACAAGTCTAGTCTTGTGCAATAGATATTTAACCAACATTGTTCACAAAAATAAACCTGAATTACAATTCTAGTCCTGTGCAATAGATATTTAACCAACATTGTTCACAAAAATAAACCTGAATTACAAGTCTAGTCTTGCACAACAGATATTTAACCAACATTGTTCACAGACATCATCCTTGAATTACAAGTCTAGTCCTGTGCAATAGATATTTAACCAACATTGTTCACAGACATAATCGTTGATAACAAGTCTAGTCCTGCACAAGATATTTAACCAACATTGTTCACAGACATAATCCTTGATAACAAGTGTAGTCCTGCACAACAGATATTTAACCAACATTGTTCACAGACATCATCCTTGATTACAAGTCTAGTCCTGTGCAATAGATATTTAACCAACATTGTTCACAGACATAATCCTTGATAACAAGTCTAGTCCTGCACAATAGATATTTAACATTGTTCACAGACATAATCCTTGATTACAAGTCTAGTCCTGCACAAGATATTTAACCAACATTGTTCACAGACATAATTATTGATAACAAGTCTAGCCCTGCACAATAGATATTTAACTAACATTGTTCAAAGACATAATCCTTGATTACAAGTCTAGTCCTGTACAATAGATATCTAATCAACATTATTCATTTGTTTATATTTAAAATGTTAAAAATACTCTGCACTTTAACACGTTTCTAAAATTTAATTTGATAAAAATTAATTTATCTGTCAAATTCTATTAAACCAGGATCATCTCCACAGTGGTATGTCTGCAGCCTTATACTGCTAGAAACTGGGTTTCGATACCCGTGGTGGGCACAGTGCATATAACTCTTTGTTTAGCTTTGCACTTAAATACACAACCAATGTAATGAAAACAAATTGACTGTGGCCTAGTCGTTAGAATGTCTGGATGCAGAATGAAAGTCCATAGTTCACTTGTAGCAATGGTTACGTTTTAAAACAGAGGAATAATCCCGTTATTATGTTCATATGGCATATCAGATCCTTTGTGGTGACCGGGTACTGTTGGTTGGCTACCTTCCCTATGTCAGTAGTTCAGAATTAGAGAAGATTATGCCTGAACTCTAGGGGTCTCTTACTCGGTCGTTTAGCTGGTGTTGTCCCAGTTATCAATTCTAGTTTTTATTGTATTTTTATAATTGTTGTGTTTATGTAATTTTTAGCCAATATTATATGTTTCTGGTATGCATATGCTAGGAAATTTATCTCTAAAAAGTTATATAACAGGTTCATTCAATGGAATAGTGACTGACTTTTATTGAATATCGTTTTACGACGATGAAAGGTAGGGCACATATACGTTTATATTGTTACGTATCTGCTTGTTTG